GTTTAATAATATGAAATAATTAAAAAAGAAGTAGAATAAATAAATATGATAACAATTTATTATACTTCGATCAGACCTAAACCTCAAAAAGTTAAAAAAAAATAGATCAATTACTCCTTCAACAAAAGTAACCAAAACAACGTTGATCTATTAACGTTGAAACGGTAACTAGTTTATCAACTAGTTGACGTTAAAAAAAAAACGGTTTCGTTTCGTTGTCGGTGAAAACGTAAACGACCCACCCCTACAATCCACTGTTATTTCGCGACCATATTTTCTTTATTTAAAAGTTGTAACCACTCAGAATGTTCCTCAACCAGGCCCCCAAATAAAAATTTGAAGGTGAACGATCATCGTGTGTCTTTTAAAATCACGAAGATTTCAAAAGACAAGTCTCACGCTCAGGTCGAGGAACTATATCACATCGTCGTGGTTACAGCGACTCAACATTTGAGTTGAGAGTATTCGAAGATCAACTACAGAAATGATCCTGTGAAGTATGATCTTGCTTTACAGTTGCTCGTTCAGCTCTTGCTATAATATCTTGATTTTACTTTCAACGTATATAAGTACTGCAGCGCCACACTATGAAAATTTATCCAACTAAATGTTATGAAACTTTGAAAAAGAAGATATCTATATGAAATAAATATTATAACGTCATAGTATAAATATAAACAGACAGCTATGACAAGTAGGTACAGAAAATTTAGAGATAAATTATAACTTTTAATAAGTATGATAATTATTTGTGAATTCTTTAATCCTTTAACATAGTTGACGTTACTTTCACTTAAAATTATTAAGAGCTTATTTAAAAATGTTTAGCTTAAATTTGGCAAATCTATAATCAAACAACTCAACTTAAACATCCCAATACTTATAAGTGTATTAGTAACTTGGGAAAAATGAAAGTAACTGAGGGATTCTTCTATTACATACCTACTTTCTCTCCGCTGCCGGCTAAATTTGTTAAAATATATTTTAAATTTACCTTTCGATTAGCGGCCACTCCATCTTCACAATCTAAAGCTATACAATCTACATCGAGTTTGTAAGCCTTGTTAATTTTTTTGGGATCATCTCCCGGAACGTACAAAAGAGCTCTTCTTATTTTGTATTGATTGTTCTAAAAGAAAACATAATTTTCACTTGAAATGTGTAAAAAATATTTTATGTTTCATGAACATACTGACAGATTTCGTTTGAATTGACTATAAATGTTTATCTTAATTTTTTTAAGTAAAACTGACATTTTAGTCTAGATAAACTCTTACACATATACGTAAAAGTTTAATTATAATTCAACACATAACCACAGATTATTTTACATACATCTTGTTTCTGTTTTTTAATGTTCTTCCGCGTGTACCTATACCAAGTGAGCAACAAGTTTGATGAGCTATTTCTATAATTTTTGTTTTTATTATTTTACAATAGGCTAAAACGGGAATTGAAAATGCATTAAAAAGCTGCAAGTTATTTGGTTAAACTGTTGTTTATTATCTTATATTTTGTAAAGAGGCTTCACCCTGTATATTTCACCTGTTATAATGCAAAAAATTAATGTCACTTCCTACGCAGCCATTGGTGAGTTTTCCTACTCTGCTGGATCTACTGACTGCACTCAATTCGCCATTTTGAATATTAGTCACGACATGGAGCATGTACGTTAGTCAGTGGTTTAGGTAAATCTTGGTCGAAGTTCAAGATAAATAACAGTTGAAATGTCAGTTGTAAATCTCTAACGTATAATAATTAGTGAATTTAAATATAATAAACGCATAGAAATAATTGTTGATCAGGTATTTACAACTGTGATAACGGTCTTTTTAGTTCCGTTACTGTGAGTAGTACACAACAAGGCATTATACCCAGCGATTTGACGTTTTCTATTAAAATTGTTCCGTTGCGTGACTCATTTTGCGATTTAAAAATTCTGCAGCAGAAGAAAGTTGTTTGGCCTAGTTTCCACGATCCGAGAAGTGCACGTTTATTGTATATTCTCATTGTTTTTGTTTTCGTTATGATAGTGTTAAAGCAATTGTGATTTTTTTCCAATTTGACACAGTATCTTTTATCTCTTACATTATGGATTCGGAGGACTATCCTAGTTTTAACTCCAAAGACGAAGAAATTAAATATTTAAGAAATGTTATTGGGAAGCTTGTAAAAGAGTAAGATATTTATACTAAGTCACTTTTTCTCTTATTGAGGGCTTCCCATCTGTATTCCAGAAAAGAAAATATACAAAAGGAATTCGATGATTATGCAGCTGATTCTCAACAACTTGAAAAGGAATATGAAGTCACAATTGATCAACATGAGAAAACAATAAAAGACCTTAAATCTTCAAATATTAAAGCACAAAATGAGATAGACAACCTACGGGTAAGTCTCCAATACCATTATTTAAACTTAATTTTTATTTTTGTAAGTATGTTTNACAACTTGAAAAGGAATATGAAGTCACAATTGATCAACATGAGAAAACAATAAAAGACCTTAAATCTTCAAATATTAAAGCACAAAATGAGATAGACAACCTACGGGTAAGTCTCCAATACCATTATTTAAACTTAATTTTTATTTTTGTAAGTATGTTTTATCATTACAGTTGATTTGCATGATTGATGCTAAAGAAATATTTTTTAATAGCATAAGTAAGACTTATACCCGATATTTTCATTCTTTGAAGTTTTGCTTGTGCTGAGTAGAATAGTAATAACAGGCTATCTTTCAATTTGTTTTAGACTTACTAGTGCATTTTATTTCCTCAAATAAGTTTAATTAGGGGAGTTTTTAGGGTTTTCTTACTAAAGTTGCTGATTTTTGTGATATTTTATTTGTATCTAGTTCTTTTAACTTCCGCTTCTGTTTTGTGAATAGTCTGCAAACCAATAGAAGTTTGACAACTTTCTGATGTGTACGTTGTAACTATTTAAAAATAGGTAGGTACTCAAGTAGCAAAAATTGTTTTACAGTGATAGAAATAACGTTAAAGTACTACTTTGTTTAAAAGATGTTTAGGAAAAATTACTTTTTTTATATATTTGAACTTATTTAATAGAAACTTAGCTAATATATTAACATAAGATGGGCATTGAAATTTTCAAAAAATAAAAATAAAATAAGAGTTCATACCATATTAGTACACATAATAATACATATTAAATTTTTTGTCATTGATATTGCATGTGATTTGTAGGTACTGTCTGTAGGATTTTTCACATAAAAACCAACCAAGTGTTTGTTTCATTCTATTATATTTATTTATATTGCATTATAGAGTAAAATAAGATGATTAATTAACGTACATACTAATTGGCATATAATTTTCAAGATGTTTTTAAGTTTTCATTAGGCATTTAAAAATAAAACTAAAAAATATTAAATTAACGGAAATTATTAGTCCTATTATTAAGAAAGAGAGACTGTGCTGAAGTAAATGTGCAGTTAAACCAAGAGGGTATAGCTCAAATTTCACAATGTGAAGATGCTCACAGTATAAGTGGGCGAAACACGCCCGCGTTTTTTCAGTGTTAAAATGTTATATACCTGTTAAAAGGTAAAAAAAATCAGTTGTGCAAGTTAAAATATGTAGATTGGGGAAAATTTATTTTAAATAGAAAGACGAATATAACGACTATTACTCAACCTCTCCATTGCGTAAAGAAATGTATTAAATGCACTTATATTAATATTTTTAAACAAAATGAACCAATTTTCGACCCCCCCCCCTTTCTGAACGTAACAGGACCGTAACCCAAACTTGACCACTCCCCCTACCCATTCTGTTACATAGGGCGTGCATTGTAAAAGTTGTAGGCTTGAATCCAGAAAAGGATTTTTTAAAGTCTAAAAATAATTTAAGATGAAGCACACAGTAGCACTTATCTCCTTATTACAACTCCTGATTTGTGTATCTATCAAACCTGCGAATTTTACGTTTCTAAAATTGTTACGCAAACTTTATGTAACGTAATTTATTGTCAGCCCTCACTTGAATGAGAA